GATGATGTTCAGCTGAACTAACACCTACAGAGTAGTGAGAAGAGTTTCTACTCGTAACAGGTAGTATATTAATATAAGCAGCCCAAACCAATTACAAATTATCATTAAATTGTGACTAAGACCAGTATTTCATACTATATATAAAAAAATATTACAGTAGTTAGAAACTGGCTTGCAAGCAAAATCACAGCATAAGAACCTAATGTGTCATATATATTTGTACTTACCATAGCATGTAGAAAGGTAGCTGGTTCATGGTCTAGGCCATTTTGCCTTGAAAAGTAGATAGAAGGCTGGTCCATGCTTGATGGACTTTTAGTCATAAATAACAAAATGCTTTGCAAGTTTAAGCATGGAGAAAGACATTACTCCTCCTGCTTGCTCGTAAGCAGTGTGCTTACTGATTTTTAAATTTTGCAAGAGAAAATAATGATCTCTAGTGTTCCTACTCAGTACTAAAAGTGTCAGACTCATCTGATGAGTTGACAGAAAGTGTCAGTGTTTAGACTGAAGTGTTCACCATCTGTCTGAGGTTGTGGGCCTGACTGCCACTAAAAAAAACAAAAGGCATCACATCAGACAGGGTAAACGAGTGAATGCAACTCATAATTTTGGATAGCAACTATAATTTACAATTGTCAGGGCTATTATTTACAATTCAACAGTTTTAATTTGGAATTGCTATATATACTTACGTGCTGTTTCTATAGTAACTTCTCCTGACACTTCAAGCCTGGTTCACTGTTAGTTATTTACACATTTCTAGCATGTAGCCTTAGGCTTGGAATTTGATCTTTTTGGTTTTATTCTTGGTATATTTTTTTATTTTAAATAGTGGTCATAACAGTGTAAATTATGACACACCTAACTTGGTTACTTTTTCAGAATGCTACACGATATTGCAACAGAACTCTACCCAGAAAGGAGAAAGCTAATAACTAAACTAACTTATCTTGTTTTCACTCCTAACATGTTACTAGCCATTCTGTTTCCTGAAAATAACCTGGTTTCTCCAAGGTGTACAGTCCTGTCCATTATAACTTTGTTTAATTAAAACTCAAGCAACCTAGATGTGGTAGTTTTAGATTTACAGGTGTTTACAGGCTATGCACAATTCTTGCTCCTTTTGTAAATAACTAAGTACACAGAATGTGTAACTACAACCTCACTTCCTCACAGCTCCAAAGAACAGATGGGCTATTGCACCGTCAGACGGCTGGAGAGAGGGAGGATGGAAAGAATTGCATGAGTTTGTGGACTATACATCTCCACAGTCTCCAGTTACTGATAAAATAACATTTATTTCTACTTTCCAGTGGTAATCTAAGTGTCTCTTTCTATACTTTTGGTGACTTCAAAAAATCATTGGTACTTGGAGTTAGATTTTGGAGGTGTTCATGGGAAACTGCCCCGCTACATTTCTCTGCTGACTGCACTAACTCCCAGATGCCTCATCGGTAGCTTTGTAGTTCAAAGAGACGCAATGAGGATGACAGCTATTTTGCAAGGACCAGGGATAAGACTGTTTTGGTGAATGAAGAACACACTTTTGACTTCACATGGTCCCCTTGCCCAGTATTCTTAGTTTAAATGTAGCTGTCCTCTTGTATTTATCGTTAAGTAGTTTATGCAGTCTTGAAAAATGTTTGATAAGGCTCGTTTGGTCCCTAAGCAAGGACAAAGGTACTGCCAAGGCCTACAATGATTCTATCAGCCTGGAGCTGTTAGCCTTAATAAGGAAACAGGTGAGTAAATATTATGATTTAAAGGAAACTCATTCAGAGTTTCAACCTGGGGAAGCAATCTGGAATGAATTTGTAGAGGGGGAAAAAATAGACCGAGAAAGAGATAAGGAGATGTTCTGTCACTAATGGCATTAATTTCACTAACAATCATGTCAGAAGTAACTGGAAGGTAACTGGTGCCTTCCTGGGCAGGTGAAAAAGGGTGGAATATACCGAGCGTTTACAAGTTACTGTTCCTAATGGACAGATGATCCAACTTCAGATCCTTTGAGAGTACTTGATCTCTAACAAGGGAGAAATAATCTGAAATTCACATGAATCACCTCCCTAGTCTTCATGCACAAGAGAAAGGTTATTTCTCCCAGGATGATCCCTGCACCACATAACTGGGTCTGACTACGTCTGCATGCTGCCTTCCTTGGCAGGCTGAACCTCCCAAATCCAGCTCTGCTCTAAGAGCACTCCGGCACAGGGGTATGATGTAACAACAGATCACTAGAACTCCCAAACTAGTCCCAAACACAATCACACCTGGGCTGTGAAGGCCACTTAGCTGGGCCAAAAATTTTCGCACACACGGTGAGCACTGCTAGCAATCAGTGAACTGCACCTGGAGAAAAATTAGCAGACTAAACATCCTAAACATCTCATATTTTGTACTTCTGTGTGTAAGCACAAATAGTTTCTTTAACTGTGGCAGCAATTATGGAAGGTACTGTGGAGTAAGGTAAGCACGTAAATCAGTACAAGGATCTTGACATTTCCCCTACTGGCCAAAGCGTATGCCAAAATAAGATTGAACTCACAAGACCTTGTTTTGCTGATAGAGACTTCCACAGAGTACCAATGCAGTATCTGAAAAGTCTTGTACTACTATGCCATCTGACTAAACCATAAAGTTACATCCATACCAGTGAATCAGATGAGCCTTGGACTGTCCTTTGGCATCAGTTCTAGTTGGAATGGAATAACTCGCATCCAAATTATTAAGGTCGCCTCTAAAACAGGATGCTCATATTCAAACTCCCAAGTAGGAACAGTATTTGGCCTAAGTTAATGCCCTGAGCCTTGCCCAGAATTATTTGGGAGAGAGCTAGCTGGGCCAAAGCAAAAGCACAGTAGGGACCATTAATGAGCTCAAGTGCCAGTAGATACTGTCTGGCATTGCACCGCTTGCTAGTAGAAAGGTAGCCTGAGGCCAGTCTGTGTGAGAGTGTGATTATTAAAACCTTTCCACCAGGACAATGGGTCCTCTAGACTTTGTCAAGAAGACTAAGATAAGCTTCACTTATCTGAGAAACATCTAGAGAAATTGTAGGACAAGCTACTGTACCTTATGATTTCAAGCATCTAATTTCCAGCAGCAACACACAGGACACAGTATCAGCCGTCACCAGAGTTCATGGGATTTAATTTAGATTTTCTTCAACTAATTCAAATGATTTTGTTCAGTACATTGCTGAAGATACTGAAATAATTTAATTTAAAAGTCCAATTATTAAACTCTCTCTGTATGGGAGTTACTCTACATTTACAATGCTTCGTAAAGCACTCTCAAGTTCTGAGACAAAAAGAAACACAATTCGTATCTTTATGAATATTTTGGAGGCACCAAAGAGACTTTTCTCGTATGGATGTTGTCCCAGTATAAAGTGAAATTAGATGCCTGGTACAGATCATTATTTGTTGTAGTCTAGCCTATTATGAACCCTGATGTTTGAAAGCATTAATGAAAAAAGACTCCATATTATTAAGTTCATTCATGTTAGCATTGTCTTCATCGTCACTAAAGGAGATGACTGTTGTGAAAAGCAGTATGACTTTTCACATGGATTAAGTCTCAAAATCTGGGTCATTAATACTAGCTTCTAATGCCAAATATGAAAGAGACTGAAACTTTAATTCCACTGTACTGCTTCATAGATCAAATCCTTTCAGATTAAAGCTGAAATTGTAAATCGTAAAACTCTAATAAAAATAACCCCCAAATTACAATTAAATAATAGTTTAAAACTCTTTGGTAAACTCGTATAATTAACAGATGATCTTATGAACATTTCAGATAGTGACAATATTCATCTACATTAAAACAAACACACTGTGGACCTACACACTATTTAAACCAAATAAAAACATGCAGAGAGAGAAAAGAATTCATATCTAACTCAATGAAGGCTTCCCTACTACTCTGGTCTTGGAGGGAAGAGTTCTCCCTTCAACATAGAAGAGTGGAAAGGGGATCCCCACATAGATGGCCGGCAATGACTTCTACCCCAAGCACCCCAAAGGCATACTTTTGCCTCCCTTCCACCTCACAAGATGGTTTTAAAGCTGGTTTTACAAAAGCCACAGTATTAAAACAAAAAAAAAGATCAAAAATCTTGCAAGACAAAAAATAAACCACCTAAAACAACTACAAAGAAGCCCCAACCCTAAACGTCCTTGAAATATCAACCTGCAGACGTGAGCAGGAAGACGAAAAGAGGGATAAAAAACCCCCTCCCAATTGGTATCATATTTTAGATGATTTTTAGAGGCTTTTCTGATTTCTACAGTTTTAGAGCTCATTCAAACAGATCTGGGGCTAAGAAAATTAGCACTGATTTTATTCAGGCTTCTCATAATTCCCAGGTTCTGCTCCCCACCATGCCATCCACAGAAATCATACACTGGCACAGTATGACAGTTATCAAGGCTGATTTGAGGGATCTCCACTTTTGACTTTACTGTTGTTTATGGAAATTCATATTGGCAAAACCTTTTTTTTTTTGAGAGGAATTCTAGTATTACATTATATCCATTTTTTCATTTCTCATACAGCTTAACTTTAATTGTTTGAAATCTGTTGTTAGCCAAACACAGAATAGTGATCAGACCAGGAAGAATGAGGTCACCTGCACCACTCACATCTATGTGCACACAGACATCTCCAAACTAGTTCAGAATGAAGTAGCTTCAAGCCTGTGACTCTACTAGCTTAAAGAAACATCATCTTCCTAGTCAGGCAAAGGAGCTTAAGGCCTCCAAGTTAGTATCTCTGTATCACATAGATATATAATTTTTCTTAAAGCTAGCTTAGATATTCTAAGCCTTGTGAAATACAGATGTACAATAAATTGCTCGTGCAAAAGGCAAAAAGAGTGAAATGACTCCTTTTCTATAATTACTAATTTAAAACTTTTAACACCCTAAAAAAGATTAGAACTAAAACATTTAAGAAGAGATCCCACACCCCGATAATAACTAGTATACTACCTGATGGTATTTCTTCAGTATGTTGTGCATTTCTGCTACATCTTCACTTGTTATAGTTTTGATGATATATCTTTTATCGTAAGATGTATGAAAGCGGGCACCACTGCGTGCTTGGGAATCATTGGCAAGGGGTGCACTTCTTGTCAACGAATTCTGTCAATAGATTTAAAACAAAAAAGCATCATGTCAGATGAAAATACGAACTTGTAATTAGAACAAATAGAAACCATTTACATTTTTAATATTTTTTTCAATGCATCTGCGCCGAGCTGAATTCTGCAAAGCGTGTAATCACAGACTGTATTATCTTGGCAAATAACTTCAAAAATATTCTGAGAAGAAAAGAATGCTTAGGGGAAGATACTGCCCATCAGTGGTTCAAAAGTGATTCTCGATGCTGAATGAGAATTTATTGTATTTTGTTACATATACATTCTCAGCTTTTGGGAAGAAAGCATGCAGTAATTAAAAGTCCCAAAGGAACACTGTATTACATCAAAGTAACTATAAATAGAGGATTAATCCGTAGTAACAGTATCACTTTAAATCTGAGCAGGATTTGCTCTTGAGCCGGTATGATCTGGTACATAAACAAGATCACAGCTAGATTTCTGAGTTATAGGTCCCGGGCTATTCCCAAAATTTCATATCTAGTGTTAAGACAGTAGCATTACTGTACAGTACCTCTTTTTGTAAAACAGATAGACAGACCCTTTTATAGATTCAAGGGAGAAAGATTAGTTAATGGCTGTATCATAGCTAGAAGAAAAACTGCTAGAGACTAGTGACCATTTTTAGACTGAAGTTTGAGATTACTTGAGCTTCAGTAGTAGCAAAAGAAGCCTTTTTTTTTTTTTGAGAAAATAGCAAGTATTCCAATTAGGTTTCTTTATATTTAAAAAACATACAAATAAATTAGACAAAGTATAACAACTTTCTTTTGGCCAAAACCATCCGTAAGAGTTTACGCCAATTGTTACATACTTGAATTAGATCTTTATTAATTTCTTTTTAAATAAGTAGCAACAGCAGCAGCATAGTCATGAGAAAACACAACGATGTTCTTATACCCCATGTGTACTACCACAGAAATGGATCATACTCTGAAAAGTTTAAAGAAGTTAATTACAGACTGCTAGAATACTTCTATGTTTATGAAATAAACTTGCAGAACCCATTTGGTATATCCCTGCTGGCAGCAGAAACCCCCAGCTCATGCTGTTGTTCCTCATTGTACCACATCGCACAAACAGCTGTTGCTAAACTGAAGTACACTTTCTCCCTTTCCACGGTCATGTACTGTAATGTTCTCCCTTCTAGAAGAAAAGCCATTTTCTCAGAGGATTTAATAAAGTCTTGTGCATACATGTAAACGTTGCAGATTCCTAAGTAGCAAAAGGTCAGCTTCAGCAGCTCCAGAATATGATATGTTTGTGAGAACTAAGTCACAAAACAGATTTACACTGGAAGAAGGATGGTGCTTTCAGAAAGTAATTACAAATAGGCTCCGTCTAACCACAACCAGTAACCAAATCCACAGAATTTTGGTTTTGTAGGAGCTATGTCTTATTTGGAAGTTTTACCACTATAAACCCGTCCACAAGCTCTGTGGTCTTCAGCTGGAACTGGACATGCAGATTCAACCCCAGTGACATAAAGTCAGTAATTATCATAAAGTAGTAACTTCAACCAAGAGACAAAGGCAGCTATAGCCTCGATTCAGGCAGGCACTTGAACATGTACAGTTACATCTCCATGTTTTGGAGACCCATTGACTTCAACAGGCTTTCAGCTTAGTTAAATCTCATCCCAACTGTGAGATGCTTTCTGAAATTAGTTTAATATGAAACAAAAAAAATTTTCCTCAGGTTGTTTTGTTCAGTTGAAATACTTCAGAGAAGTAGAAATAAAAGTAAATCACCTAAAAGCACATAGCTCTACAAGGTCTCATTAGACTGAAAACCTTAATTATGACATGTAGGAAAAATAAATCTTGGTGTACTTCTCCATGTCTATTTCTTGGCTTGTGAAATGAACTACAATCATTACTAACGTTTATAATAAAAGTGATGTCTTTCTCCATGATCCTCTCTGTTCACTAAAGAAAGAATATGCTTCCCTAATGTTTATAAATAAACAATTTTCAGAACAGAGTTTTAGGGCCAACCATTGCTGACTCAGTTCCTCCCCTGCACTGGCTTTTGGACAGCCAGTTTTAACAGATGTGAGTCCTGATACACCATCACTTCGTATGACACTGGAGATATTAGAGGGGGGAATTTAAGTGTTACTGCAATTTTCTTTACCTGTTTTCAGATGTTTCCTACTCAAATTCATTTCCCCCCACTCCACCATTAAAATGCTTTTATGTACTGATGAAGTCTGTTCAAGAGAACAGGTATCATGCCTGAATTAAATTCTCTTAATGCTACACTTGATATCAGTACTCCATTAATTTTCAAATTGAATCATAAATAGAGCTGGTCATAGAAGCCATAGTCTGTAGAAACCCATTCTATTCTAAAGTCAGGACTTGGTTTTGTTTCCAGGGCACATATTTAATAGCTTAAGATGAAGAACAGATAATCGACATTTTAAAAATATTGTGCAAATTTGGTTACTTTTATCACAAACTAAAGAATATGATGTAACATAATAATTACTTTTAATTTTAAAAAAACTAAAGCATAGGTCATCATTAGCATATGTAGTGAATTAAACTACTGCTAAGTTATTAGGCTGTAACTCATTTAGCAACAATAAAACCTACTGGGTAATTATTTGTTATTGTTCCCAGCAGAAAACGGTGCATTATTCTGAGGTTAACTATTCCAATAAAGGAGTAGCCATAGTTTTCAGAATGTATTTTTCCCAGTCTTCAAACTGTAAGTCATGTGGCATAAACCTTGAAAACAATTAACCTGGGAGAAGACTTAAGGTTTTTTGCTACAAAAAGAAGCAGAAAAGTAGACTTGATAGTCTGCCACTGAACCTCTGAAGGAGGAGGGGAAAAAGGGAAGACTGAAAGACAGATCTGAACTAGCATTACTCTCCAAAATTTCAAATAATCAAAGGTGTATTTTAACACTCTTCACCAAAAGACTTGTCAGATTTGAGTGAAATTCAGACCTGGGAGTACTCAGTAGCAGTGAAATATCTTGCTAGCAATGTCTTGACTGAGATATAACACATGGGAGATGCTCCTTCTCTGGACTTTTCACTTGCTGAAGCTCAGTTACTAGTTCTGCAGCCAGAAAGGGACCACTTCTGACTTCAAGCCTTCTGAACACTATTCCAATAACTTGTCCTGGGTTTAGCTAAAACCCAGTC